AGTACTAAACTTAATGTGCAGTAACTATGGCACATTAAAGCATGTGTAGACATGCCCACTTACAACATAATATCATTCTCTGAAGTAAATGTGGTACTGATTTTTTTCAGTAAACCAGAGAATATCACATTCCCTGAGGTAGGTGCTGTGTGTTCACTCCACTTTTCCTTCAAAGTAAATTGAAAATATTTAAAACATGGTGTGTGTCTACACCCTCTATGCAGGTCTTTAGAGGATTCACCAAAGATCAATGTGCAATGATTAATTCCCTTTTGGAGTTATGTGGAAAGTATCTAACTACAGGTAACAGAGGCAGGACATATTTAAATGCTATACCAAATGAGTGGACCTCTGTCTTTCCCTGAAGGTACTAAGAGGGTTGTTAAACGTTATACTTAGACCATAATATAGGCATTTATAATGTGAGCATCTGCACGTTAAAACATTACAGTTTGTGCTAAGTGCCTGTCTGGATTATAACTTTTCTACTGACTTTGGGCTGTTCCACATTTGACCTTGAATCCTCAGTCTGTGTACAGAATTTCAGTGTCAGTAGAGGATATTGGTTTCCTCGGGGCTGGACTGAGAGATGATGCAGTGGAGTATACCTTCATGAGCAAATACCAGAGAGTGGGTGTAGACAGTTTGTGCTAAAGGCAATTTATTATCTCTAAAAAAAATTGCATTAAACATTTGCATGTCAAAACCATATACACTATTTCTGTTAGCTGCCTCTTTTTCTTATACCAAACTACACTGAACTTCAACGTATTTTTATAGAAAATAAACAGCCTTCAGATAGGAAAAGCCAAAAAAAGAAACCCAAGGAAAAAAAGAAAAGAAAACAAAAAGCTCTCCTTCCTACCAAAAAAAAATCAGGTGTTCTGGATATGGAAATACCCAAATACATGCAGTTTCTAAAACATAATAGATTTGACAGCACAAAAGACGAACAACATTATTGTGACTACAGGTAGATTTATCACTTATGGTATGTGTACTTTTAACGAGCTTTTATTTCTAAAAAGTTATGGTCTCTGAGTTACTATGAATTTAAAATGCAGCTCCTTAACATTTATATTTGTCTACACTAAGGTTTCAATAATTTATTAACATGGTAATAAATGTTTTATCCTACTTGTCTGTAACATTTTATAAGGCCATCTTGTTAACTCCTGATGCTCAAAGATAACAGAAAGAATCTTGTGCGAGAGCTGTATACTTCTGGATTCACTTACGTGCAGGCTTTTCAAAGCAAGGATGGTCTAGAGGCTCTCTGAACTGATATTTAAGATAACCCAGATAAAACAAAAAAAAACCAACTTGTGTTTGGTTGTACAGGAAGCTGGGATCAAAGGAGAGGAACTCGTTCGGCCTGTGGGCAGGGGTGTGTCTTTACGTTACACCGTGCAGCGCAGCAGCTGCAGGCATTCACAACTCTTAAGTTAGGTCCCCCTTGCCAGCCAGGAGATTCACAAAGAAAAAAGTAGTGTGTTTTTATTTAATGCCTTTAGAGTTCTTTTTATTTTTCTTCTGCTTTCTAATTCTTTAACGGTCGCATTTTCAAGATTTTTTTTTCATAACCCACAGGTGTAGACACCTTTTCCTTTGAAAGACAATTGCAATCTTTTGATCACTGTAGCTCAGCTGCTGTTTTGGTAAGAGAAAACCACTGATTAGCCTGAAACACACTATAAATTGTGAGAGCTGATAATACTGCTGTGCCTAAGCCATGCACTTTACTTTTGGGATCTGAAACCATACACAAATCTCCTTAGGAAATGCAGGCCACTCCAGTGTCAATTTAGCTAATTGAGGTGAAGTTTAGTTTAGTTCAGATGCACAAGGAGTGTATACAATTTAAACCCTTGAATTAAGGCTGAAGTGGGATTTAGGTGTTACTGCCCCTCCACCCCATGATAAATGTAAACCCTGCTACCACAAAATGATAAGCATTATTTTCTGGCTGGCTGAAATGATTTTTCTAAAACTTTTCTGAGGGGATAATGTTCAGCCATAAAACAATCTGATCGGAGGAAACTGCTTCCAAATAGTTTAAAGAAGGGTTGTTTGTCTCCTGCTTCAAATTTAATGAGTGGATGTTAGTAAAACAGAATCAGAAATCAGAGCAGGCACTGTAGTTGGTGTCATTTGTAAGAATACAAACTTTTTTTTTTTACCAATCAATCTTTTAAATTATATTTTGAAGTTTTGGAACAAAACTGCTGGCGGTTTTTCCATCAGGTTTTCCTCTCAGTCATTGTCCATAAGTCTGACAAGGATAGACCTTTATGTATTCTTCTCTTAACAAAATGGAAATGAGCAGTAGTTTTGTATTAAAGTGCTGGATCTCTCAAATGGAATGACATCCGTCTCTGGTCAGAAAGGATTTTATCAGCAGTAGGTTTGGGTGAATCTTTTATTTCCTGAAAAAAATGATTTTTTGTTGCCCCCAAAGTATTCATGAACGCAGGTTGAATTTCCTGAGAGGTTTCAGATGGACACAAATCGCAGGAAAGATTTACAAATAGGGAAGGAGTCTGCTTGTTATGTTATGGCATTCACTCAGCATGTGGTATATCAGCATGCTTCTGTCCTCTGCCTAAAATGTGAGCCTGTTTGGCATGTCCTAACCATCCTGCTATAGAGTACTTTTGGCTGAGGCTTCCTCAGTCTCTATTGTTGGACCTGTTCTACTAAAATGCTGAAATATTCAGTAGGCAAAAGTGGGAATTAATTGCTAGCCTGATAATTAGAGTATCCACATGGAAGTTGGGATACCTGGGAGTCAGTCCCTGCTCCACTAAAATGTATTTCATCGAAATCATCTCAGTGCCAACACAGCATGCTGAGAATCCCCTCCCCTCCCCAGAATGCTCCACACTGGATATGTCTACATGTGCCTCTTTTAAGCAGGCTTAGCCTAACATTGTCCTTTTTAAGGTGCATTAAGGGTGCATTTCTACACATATTAAATGTAGGTGCATATCAAATTTAGGCATGTATCAAAAAGCAGGTATCAAATTTAGGCGTGGATATTAAAGTCATGGTAGTGCACATGTAGACACACTAATGTGGTTTAACACAGTGTGCATCAATGGATACACACCGTGTTAATGCACATTAATGCATCTGCACATATGCTAAAGTGACATTGCTATTCGCACCTTAATGTGCATTAGCTCGCCCACGTGTAAACATGTGCCTGAATTCTCTTAATGCGCATTAAATTTAGACACGCGTAACTACACCCAGTATGATGGTCAGTACATAAGTACTAAGTGACTGTGCAGTAACCAAGTTACTGTGCAATAGCATCCCTGAATTACTTTTTGGTGATGCTGACTATGAAGTAGTTCATTGCTATTTGCGCAGTAGCGTCACATCATGCTTCGGGCCACACAGTGCTACTGCGCAGGAGTAACGAGCTACTGTGCAGTAGTAATGAGCTGCCCTGCAGTCAGCATCTCATGCAGACACAGCCAGTGATTCTCAACTAGGGTGTCATGGCACACTGGGGTGTCTCAAGATACAGCAGACATGATTCACAAGATAAACCCAGAGACTTCAAATAGAAGCCCGTAGTGTTAAAAAGATTGTGAGCGGTTGTTGTCTTTCTGAGTTCTTTGCAACAGAAGAACTGCTCTATCATTTTTCTGTAGTAAAAAATCAAGTGAAAAGCAAGAGCTGGTATTTTCTGAGGGGTTGCAGGCATCCCTTGAGTCTAAAAAGGCTGAGAAACATTGCTTCAACTACTGGGTGACTGGTTAAAAGGGGACTCCCGTTCTCTTCCCAAGTGTTTGGATCTAGCAGTGTTTGCTTTTGATTACAGAAATGGAAATATCCATTCAATCTGTAGGAAAAACCAATCTTTTAGTTTTTTGTTTCAACAGGGAAAGTAATATTGTGTATCATTCTGACCTGTTCTCCTTGTCCATTTAATTTCTTGCTTTGGCAGTCAAACTGAAAAATTAATTACTTGCCAACCTTTATAGCGAAGAGCCTGTTCCTCAGTTTAACGTGAAGATTATTAGCTTCTCCCGTACAATTTTCCCTTCAAAATTAAAAACAACTTTTTCATACTGTGATACTTTCTTAATGCTGTATCTTTACTGAGGATGTGCTCCATCACAATGGCAACCTTATTGAGTTTCCTCATGGGGTATCTTATTAAGTCTCTAATGAATAGATTCATATGTAATTGTAAGATTATTAACAATATTTTTGCTTCGGGGAGAAATGCGGTCGTTGACTAGGCTTTGAGTGGTATTTAACAGTGTGTTAAAAAAGACATGGCAGTCTCTTTTCTGGCTATTTGACTAGACAAGTTGCTAAATAAAATGTGAAAGAAGAGGAAAATAATTTGATTTAAAATAAACCGAACCCTTTTTTTATTGCACGTTTATCTTTTACTGTATTCTAAAACAGGTATTCACACAATACTATCTATTTTTCATTAACCTTTTCTGTTTTCCACATGCACAACAAAGGTGTTTTCCTACCTCAAAGTTCCTTTAAAACCACTCATAGTTCAGTGAGTCCTGAAGACCCTTCTACTGCAATGACTCTGGGTGAAAGTTATGCTCTTTCAAAACCTTTATGTGGGTTATTTCTACATACAGGATAACCTGGATATTAATTGGCCCCTGAGTTACCACAATTAAAGCCAAGTCAAGGTAGCTGTATGCAATTTTTAACAGCCTGCCTCAGCCTCTTGCTGTTAAACATACAAGATTGTTCTCTAGGATATCTCTTCTTGTCCAATTTTAAATCATTCTGCTCATGTAGATATTACTAAGGTAGGGTAAAGAATCTGCAGACAAAACCACAGTAAATTAATGTGTCTTTTTTCCCCCACAAAATTGCAAATATCAGCCAGATTTTTAGTCCAGTCAGAAGGAGGCCTATATTCGGGTTTCTGACTTCTGAATTTCTTCTGCTTTATTTCACCTCATTTCACTTTAAAGAGAATAACATTTCCATTTCTTTTTCCTTTCCAGCAATGACAATGCAGTTCATAAGTCATCGCTTTCCTGATTATCATGATCCAACTATAGGTGAGTAGGGATTATCGTTTCCTTTAAACTATCCAGTCTGGCTTTTCTGTGCTATTTCTGCTACGAAGCCCTCCTGTTCCATACTTCGATACTTGCTCCACAGTGAAGCCTCTCCATGAATTAGCAGTATGGCAGAAAGGCAGGTTGTTTGTGATCCCCTAGCATAGTGGTTTTTAAACCTGCTTCAGTCACGGAACCCTTTCATATCACTTCTTCTGCCGCACACCCCTACCCCTGCATGAGCTGATGTGAACCAGCTCAGCAATGGAAGTACATAGCCTCCCAGCCTGCTCTGCCATTAACCCCAATGTCTGTGCAGATCCCCTGACGATGTGTTGTGATAGCCCAAGATTTTACAGAGCACAGTTTGAAAACCAGTGCCCTAGCACCTACTTGTGAGCCTCACAGGGCTTATAATACTCATAGTTTGAGCTCCGTTTTTAATGACCGTTTGTCTGCATCATGATCATACGGTAGTTATTCTGTCATCAAATACTGTGAAAAAAAAATTAACAACATGGCTCTGTAAAGTTTGGTTTTTTTGCATTTGTTTTTTTTTATGGAGCTATCCATGATCCCTAACTAATGGAGGCTGTATAGTTACAGTAAAAGCATCTAAGAAGAAATGATGCTATTCAATATACTGTATTCAAGCATGAAAAAAGCCCATTCTGTATGGATTTTTTCGTCTGTTTATCAAACCATTTTTTCATTAAAATATACTTTGGTAGGGTTCATATAAAATACCAGAATTGCTAATGAATTAACTGTACTGTAACTGCAATAGAGGATCATGTTCTGTTCTGGGCTATATTCAATTGATTAGCATTCGTCCATCAAATAATTGAGCTCATGATCGGTAAAGGGTTAACATTCATCTAAGGCACTTCTTTGAAAGCTGTCTTCTTGAGAACATGCATCAGGTTTGTGGACCATGTTGTTGAGTTAGGATTGGTAGAAACTGGGCTAGAACAGAAGTTTATGAGCTGGTCTTGTGATTCAATTCATTTTGAGGCTCAGTAGAAACATATGCACCAGGAGCAGAAAAACCACCAGCTGAAGGTAAGGTAAATCCTTAGTGGTTAATCCTCTCCGTGCCAGGTGCTGAGTGCTACATGAGAAGAGCTGGGTTCATGGAAGCTGTTTGTTGTTCACCACAAGAAGTCGCTCCACAAAACCCAGCATCTTTGTGCATAGTCTTAGCATCGTCTACAGACACTTGCTCTATCTCCTAATAACTGACTGTTTACATATACACACACCTCTTCCTTTTCTAGAGCACTCCTCTAACATCAGATTGTTTTACTGGCTGTTAGGGAGCAGGATTTTGGCATCATTCCTTCTCTTCAGGAAAGATAGGCAAATGGGTGGGTGAGTCAAGGAGCATTCCTAGAGTATTGTTCTTGGTCTTGGGAAGAGATGCACGTGAGACAGGTATCCTTGCCAACTCTCAGAAGGGTTATGACAGTATAGTCCCAAGCTTCTGTGTATCATTACTTTTAGTTATCACCTTAAATTCCTGCTTTAAAAAAAATGGTGTTGAAAAACATTCTGATTCTTGTTGCCCATCAGTTACTGCTGCTTGATCCCGAAGAGGTTGGGTGATTCTAGGTATCACCTTTAAGAAAAAGGAAGGGTGAGTAATGAGCACATAGTTATCCCTTTGGACATCCACTAGGTACATCCATCACTTGGGATTAACTTTGTGGACATTCTGTACTGACAGATGGCTGAAAGCAAACATTTATCTGGCTATAAAGAAGAAAGCTTGCAAGACAAAAGTTTGAAAGTGACTGTTCAGAGTACTTCATTGTTTGCATCTTTTACCTTTTCCAGATCTCTTCACTCATTGCTGTCTGATATTTCCTTCTGGTAGGCAGTAGTTAGGCTTTCTCTTGTATTACCTGAACTAATCCCAAATATAGTTAGTTTGTGAAATATGTCCTATTTGAGTGAACAGTCATTGTTTAAGAGGAAGTCAGAGCTTTCCTTTCCTTTTCTTTTATATGGTGTGCATAGCAATTTCCTGCTCTTCAGCTCAAGCAAGGCAGGTACTTTGGGAGCAGTTGGGCATGTCTACACATGCATTTACACCAGCTTAAATTTACTGCACAGTTAGTTACTGCCCAGTAAGCAGGAATAGGCTGGCATCCAGATGTGCAGGCATTAAAGTGAATTAATTTTTTGTGTGGACTGACTTGGTACTGAAGTAGTGTGTGTGAACTAAACCAAGTCAGTTCACACACACAGCGTTACTGCGCAGTACGGTGTCTACACATGTGTTACTGTGCAATAACTTACCGGGCATAAATTTGATACCTGCATGATGCAAGTATCAAATTTATGCTCAAGTCAACATAAGTCACTGTATTTACTATGCAGTACAGGCATGCACATGTAGATGTGCACCAGTGCTGTGCAGTAATTTCGGGTACTGGGAAGTAAATGCACACATGTAGATGTGTCCACTGAGTGGCAGATAGACTAAGACCCACAAAGGGCTATGAAGGAAACAAGGATGCTCAACCCCTGGCCAGGGGGCTAAAGCCACTCCCCAGTGCCATGTCCAGCCCATGGGACTCCCCACAAATCCTGTGGAGAGCTCTCTAAGCTATGGCTCTGAGACTATTTCAGCCTCATCACAACTGGATGGAGGTAGCACAGGGCCCCAGAACCTAATCCTGGCTGAGCCAAGATTGGGCCTTGAGGAACCACAAAACCACCTCTCAGCCACAATTGGGCTCTAGTTGGGTGAAGGTAGTATGAGGCCCTGGGGACCAGTCGTGGTGCATAGAGGTGGTGCAGGGCCCAATCCAGCCTGTGGACTGGTCCTAGTCAATTGAACAGCACTGTTTCAGCTAAAAGAACAATGTTGGTACAATTAAATATAAGAGGGTTTAAACTGGTCGTACGTAAGAACACTGAAGTTTGTAGCAACCTCTCAATACTGGGGCAAGAGACATAATGGAAGGAAGAGCCTTCTTCACTGTTTTATTCTAAGGTTTCTCGGTTTAAACTCCAAAAAATCTGTCAGCTACTTCTGCTGCCTATGGAAGAAAGGAACACAGCCCTGAATTACCTTCTTGGCACTAGGCTCTTTCAACATCACCATCTAATTGGAGGCCAGAAGATCAGCCAATAAGAGAGAAGCTGATACTGTTGAAGTTGGCATTGCAAGAATCAGATATATTTGCACTGGTACAACATACCCCATCACCTGCCACTCTTTTTTCTTTTGATAAATTAACTCTATGTCTGTCTACTTGACTTTGGCATCAGTTCATCTGGCACTGAAACAAGCACAGCCTCATTTAGCACTGATTCATTCAGCACTGAACCATTCAACACCTCATTATAGGGGGTCAATTCAACCACTGACACAAGCAGCAACTTCTACTTCAGAGCTTCCAGTTTCCTTTACCACTTTGGCAGAAAAGAAAATTATCCCAAAACAGTGCTACAGTTTGTTACTGGATGAGTCTCTGATTTCCAGATGTAAGGGCTGATCTCCTGATAGAGGCAAAGGTTAATATCCCTCTACAGTGCTTAGAGGTTGATCCAGGTGACACTTCCAGTCCTATCATTATGCCTTTCTAAACTGTCTGCAGTGAGGAAGCCCATTGTGTAGTCATTGCTGGCAGCAGTGGAAGTCCCTCAGTGCAAGGATGACAGTCTTCCAGTAAATACAAAAGTCATCAGTGAGTCTGTAGATGGTTGAGGAGACCTATCTTAGATTCACATGTTTGAGTGCAGACATGGAAGATGATTTGGGGAGGGAGGCATATAGCCTGGTGATTCTTTACATTTGTCTTTTGCATCTATCTGCCTCCACAGTTTGCTTGAAATGATGAATGCCTGGCCACACGTTATAGCACTATGGAGGATGATTCAGTACTTGAGTCTCTCATGAATTGATGGTAATATTGCATTTCTTCAGATTGGCCTTTAAGGTGTCCTTAAATCTGTTCTTTTACCCACCTTTACAGCACTGGCTATCAGTGAGTTGGGGATTGGTTGTCAGGCATCCTTATGACATGCTGTCCAGTGGAGCTGGTATATAAACATTGCTTCGGTGCTGGTGGTACTTGCTTGAGCTAAAATGCTTCTGTCCTTCCAATTGATATGGAGGGTTTTCTGAAGACATCATTAATGATAATGTTCCAAAGTTTTTGGTGTTTTCAGTATGCTGTCCAAGTTTCACATCCATACAACAGAGTAGAGATGAGAATAGGTTGGTAGATGAGAAATTTGGTTTGGGTCCTGATGTCATAATCATTAAAAATATGAAGTTGGGGACCCCTGAAGGCAAAGCTGGCAGATTAGCATGGATTCAGGTTAGGAAATTTTAATTTATTATTTGCAGTAAAAGTATTGTTCTGTGTGGGGCAACTGGATGCAAGGGGAAAATATGGGGTTTTCACAATGAACTTTATAAGACCCAAAGACATGTGACAGAATCCTTGACTTGATATAAGAAGAAGAAATGGTCCAAGTGTAGTTGTTTTCCACCTTTATCAGGCTATTCTTGTCTGGCTTCCTATGTAAAATTCTGACAAATCATCAAGATTCATCTGTCTCATAGTCAGTCCGTGAGAATTGTGCTTAGGCAACAGCAAATGTCTGCTGGTTATTTTATTGGTTTACCTGCATCTTCCCAACTTTTGCTGTGCCCCCTTTTTTTTCATTCAGCTTGATTTTTTCTGAAACATGAAAGTACATAGTGTAACACCCACTAAAATGGTAATTTCTCTATCCCTTAAATCCTAAAACCAAAATTAATGGATATGAAAGAATAGGAATTTAGGATGTGCTTTATGAAGCTCGAGATGATTATCCAATGCTCTGAGAAATGGTGGGTTCAAGACAAGACTTATACTTCAGCTGTTAAGGCAAATAGGAATGTCTTGAGTTTTACTGTTCACTGATATAGAAAGATGATGAGTTGGGTTTTGCATAAAGTATGTCTCAGATGTTAGAAAACTGGTGTTTCACCTTCCTAC